TCATGACCGAGTGGGATTCATCCCAGGCATGCAGGGATGGTTCAGCATACGTGAATCAATACATGTAATCCACCATATCAATAAAGCCAAAAGTAAGAATCACATGATCATTTCTATAGATGCAGAAAAAGCTTTCGATAAGGTCCAGCATTCATTTGTGATAAGAACTTCACAGAAAATTGGAATAGATGGTCTTTACCTCAATATAATAAAGACCATCTACGACAAAACAACAGCCAGTATCATACTAAATGGCCCAAAATTGAAGGCCTTTACTTTAAAATCAGACACAAGACAAGGATATCCTTTTTCACCACTCCTATTTAATATAGTACTGGAAATACTAGCTGGAGCAATTAGACAAGAGAGAGAAATAAAAGGGGTAAAGATAGGAAAAGAAGAAGTTAAATTATCATTGTTTGCAGATGACATGATACTCTACATAGAAGACCCCCTAAACTCCATTGAAAGTAGCTGGATACAAAATCAATACTCAAAAATCAATAGCATTCCTATATACTAACAACAAGATCACAGAGAGAGAAATAATAGAAACCATGCCCTTTACACTAGCAACCAAAAAAAATGAAATATTTAGGAATTACTCTCATGAAAGAAGTGAAAGACCTATACAGGAAACATTATAATACACTGAAAAAAGATATTGAAGATGATCTCAGAAAATGGAAAGACATCCCTTGCTCATGGATAGGAAGAATAAACATTGTGAAAATGGCCATTGTCCCAAAACTCTTATACAGATTCTATGCAATCCCAATAAAAATACCATCAACATACCTCATAGATCTAAAGAAATCACTCCTAAAATTCATCTGGAACCAGAAGAGACCTAGAATAGCAAAGACAGTTCTAAGCAACAAAGACAAAGCAGGAGGGATCACAATACCTGACTTGAAGTTATACTACAAAGCAACTGTAGTAAAATCAACATGGTACTGGAATCAAAACAGAGCTGAAGATCAATGGAATAGATTAGAAGATACAACCACAACTACAAACACACTCAAGCATTTTATCTTTGATAAAGGAGCCAAACATGTTCACTGGAAGAAAAACAGTCTCTTTAATAAATGGTGCTGGAAAAACTGGCTCTCCATTTGCCAAAAATTAAAACTAGACCCATGTGCCTATCACCATGTACTAAATTAAAATCTAAATGGATCAAAGATCTGAATATTAAAACAGAAACACTAAATCTATGGGAAGACAAATTGGGTAGAAACCTTGAAGACATAGGGGTAGGTAGAGAATTCATGAACAGGACTCAAACCGCACAGGAAATACTTCCCAGAATCAATAACTGGGACCACCTCTTATTAAAAAGTTTCTGCATGTCAAAAAAAATCTCCGGCATAGTGAAAAGAAAACCCACAAACTGGGAAAAAATCTTAATGAATTCTCCCTCAGACGAGGGACTTCTGTCTAAAATATATAAAGAATTTAAAAAATCAGACCCCCAAAATTCAAAGATCCTATCCAAAAATGGGCATCTGAGATGAATACACAGTTCTCAGATGAAAAAATACAAATGGCAAATAAATACATGAAAAAATGTTCATCATCATTAGTCATTAGAGAAATGCAAATTAAAACCTCACTGAGATTCCATCTCACTCCTGAAAGAATGGCCAGGATCAAGAAAACCACCAACAAATGTTGGAGAGGCTGTAGGAAAAAAGGAACTCTCCTACACTGTTGGTGGGAGTGTAGACTGGTACAACCTTTGTGGAGGTCAGTCTGGAGATTTCTCAAAAGGCTGGTATTGGAAGTCCCATTTGTTCCAGCTATTCCACTTCTAGGCATATTCCCAGAAGAACTGAAAGCATACCACAGTGATATACGTGCACCTATGTTTATAGCAGCACAATTTGTAATAGCCAGATCTTGGAAACAACCCAAGTGTCCATTAACTGAGGAATGGATAAAAAGTCGTGGTATGTTTATACAATGGAGTCCTACTCAGCTATAAAGAAGGATCACATTGAGATATTTATAAATAAATGGGCACAGCTTGAGACCATATTCATAAGTGAAATAAATCAAACTCACATGAGTGAATACTGAATAGTTTCCCTAGTGTAAGAAATGATTCAAATATATAAAAGTATGTGGTAATGGGGCTGGGGATTTAGCTCAGCGGCATAAGCACCTGCCTTGCAAGCAGGCGGTCGTGAGTTCGATCCCTGGTACCGATAAAAATGAAAAAGACAAAAAAAAAAAAAAAAAAAAGTATGTGGTAATCATGATTCCCCATTATGTGGCCTTGAAGCCTTATCAAGTTTTCACTCATTAATTGGAATGGCTTTATTCTGGGCTGCTTGATATTATTGCCTGTGATGAAATGAACAGCTATTTTGAAGAAAACAAGACATCATAATAGCTAGTGCTGATTTAATGTCATCTTGTTTTAAAAAATACTATTTATGTTTTGATAAGGATTCTATTAGCTCTACAGTTTGCTTTACATAATATGGACATTTTTAATAACATTAATTCTTCTAACCCACATACATGATATATCTTTCTATTCATTTGTGACTTCACTTTCTTTCCCTAATGTTTATAGATTTTCCTATACAAGTTTTCCTTCCCCTTGGTTAATTTATATTTATTCTTGATTTTTGGTGGCTATTATAAATTAAGTTAATTTATTTTCTGGATTGTTCCTTGTCAATGTATAGAAACACCACTGGTTTTTATATGTTGGTTTTATATCCTATAATTTTTCTAAATGTATTTATTAATTCCAAGTTTAATGGCATATTTATGGAATATAGATATAGATATAGATATAGATATAGATATAGATATATCCATGTTATCTGCAACCAGAAACAGTTTTACTTGTCTCTTTCCAGTTTTGAAACTTTTTATTTTTTCCCCTTTCCTAACTTCTAGCACTATGCTGAACAGAAATGTGGGAGTTTCTACTTTTTAGAAAAGAAGCTTTCAGCTTTCACTATTGAGTATAAGGTTAGCTGTGAGTTTGTTATAGGTGGCTTTTACGATGTGGCATTAAATTCCTTTTTTCCATAATCTGGTGAGAAGAGCTTTTTTCCTCATGAATGTATGTTGCATTTTGTCAAATGCTTTTCCTGCATTTATTGAAATGAGTGTATGATTTTTATATTGCATGTTACTAATATCATACATCATACTTGTAAATTTGCATGGTAAAACATCCCTAGCATAGATACTACTTGGCAATAGTCAATAATCCTTGCACTGTACTATGGAATTTACTTTTCTTTTCTTGCAGTGTCTTTGCTTTGGCTTTTGCATCAGGGTAATTCTGATCCCATAAAATGAGTTTAAAGGTATTTCCTTTTCTTCAAATTTTAGGACGAATTTGTGAAAAATTAGTATTAATTTTGTTACATGTTTTGTAGAATTCTACAGTGAAATTATCAGGTACTGGGCTTTTCTTTTATGAAAGATTTTTCTTACAAGTAGGAAAGTTTATTGAGAAATAGAAATATCTCCTGAGAGACAGGAAGGGTCCCAAATGGGTTGCCCAAGAGATTTTTGTTATTGCTGGTTCAATCTCCTTACTCAGTATTGATCTGTTCAGATTTTTTATTTTTACATAATTCAGTCTGGTTTTTTTGTTTTGTTTTTTTTTTTTTTTTTTTTTTTTTTTTTTGTACTGGGGATCGAACTCACAACTGTGCACTTGCAAGACAGGTGCTTATGCCGCTGAGCTAAATTCCCAGCCCTACATAACTCAGTCTTGTTAGGTTGTATGTGTCTAAGTATTTATCCGTTTACTCTAGATTATCTAATTTGTTGGAGCATAGTTATCCACAAGTTTGCGTTTCTGTTGTGTTAGCTGTAATGTCGCCTTTTTCATTTCTGATTTCAAGTCTTCTTTCTTTTTCTACCTAAAGGTTGGTGACTTTGCTCATGTTTTTGGGGAAAAAAACCTCAGTTTTGTTACTATTTGCTATTGTTTTTCCAGTCTTTAGGTTATTTATTTCTGCTCTTATCTTTAATTTTTCTTTCTATCAACTTTGAGCCTAGTTTGCTTTTTTTTTTCCTAGTTTCCTGAGGTGCAATGTTAGGAAGTTTATTTGGGAACATTTTTCTTTTTGATGTAAGTATCTATTGCTGTAAATTTCCATTCTAGAACTTCTTTTGCTGCAACTCATAAGGTTTAGGGTGTGTGTGCTATTTTCATGTGTATCAAAATATTTTTTAATTTCTGCCCAGTATGCTGGCACATGCCTGTAATCTACTCAAGAGGCTGAGGCGGTTGGATCGCCATGAGTTCAAGGTTAGCCTGGGCCATCTTAGTACAAGGCCATCTTGAACCACATAGAGACCCTGTCTCAACAAATCAAAGAAAACTTTTATTTTAAATTTCTATTTCAATATCTTCCTAGACCTGTTGACTATTTAGGAATATGTATTTAATTTCCATGTATTTGTAAATCCTCCACAATTCCCCCTTTTGATTCCCAGTTTCATACCATTGTGGTCAGGCAAAAAAAAAATGCTTTACATATAAGATTTCAATCTTCTCATATTTTTAAGACTAGAAAACAGTCAAAAAATGTTTTGTAGCACTGGAGGGTCAAACCCAGAGCCACCCACATGCTAGGCAAGTTCTCTACCCCTGAGGCATGTCCCTAGCCCTGAGACATAATGATCTTTTTGACCAATCTAACAGATACCAAAAATTATATCCTATTTATTAACATATTGCTTTTCTTTTCTAAGTTATAAGTTGTGTGCCTCTCACATTTGAATGTTTTTTCCACTGTCAGTTAGTGGAATTTCAGTGCTTAGCATTCAAACTATGGGTCCTTCTGACTGCAAACAAATTCTCAGCTAGTTAACAAGAGACATTCCTCTCTTTTCATAGCTGCAAATAAGCAGAAACCATTCTGTATTGCATAATTTTTCTTGCAGATGGTATTTCTAATGTATCAGCTGTGTTAACTTTCCATCACTGTGATTAGTATCTAAGATAAAAGAAATTTATCAGAAGAAAAGGTTTATTTTGGCTCACAGTTCCAGAGGGTTCAGTCCCTTGGTATGTTGCTTTGAGCCTGAGCCAGCACAATGCATCATGGCAGGAAGCACTTGGCAGAGGAGGGGTGTTCATTTCAAAGTGGCTGAAAGAGAAAAAGAGAAAATCTACATTCTTTCAGGAGTAAAAAGTGTTCCCACTGAATGTGGAATAAAACAGCAAACTAGTAGAAAGGCATTGTTTGTACAAGGAACTGAATATGAAAGGCAGAGAATAAAGTACTGTGTCATTGGAGAACAATCAATCAACACGACTTTATGGGGTTCTCTGCTCTGGCTACTTGGGAACACAAGATCCTTGCATTTCTGTGAGATTACCAGAAGTTTCTCTGCCTCTGCCTGCAAGATGGTCCCCTTGCCTTGGCTTGTGTTCTCACACATGTATGCTGAAAATATGCAGGTATAAACTTGAAGGAGACACTGCAAATTTTCTCCAGAGAGATCTCTTCTTTGTGGTACCCTGCCCTGTAAGTTCCAATTACCTTGGTCTGCCTTGTGTTTTAACTCTCTCCTCCACTCAGGGACATTGCCAGGCCCTCCCTGGCTACCTCTCTCTTGGGGAATGGCTTACAAATTCTTTTTAGTCACAAGCTTAGATGATGATAAGGCTCACTATTTGCTTTTCCTTTCTGAGAAATCTCCCTTGCATTTTTTGCATTACTTTAAGTTCAGTGGCTGAAAACCATTGTTTCATGTATTTTTCCCAGTGTTTTAGTTGTGTCTAGTGAGAGAATAATTTGACCCTATGTTACTCTGTGTTGACCTGTAGCAGAACAGCTTAAGTTTTATTCAGTTCATACATGTGGCCTCGCAGCATCAAGAGGGCAGTATGTCTAGATGAAAGGCAGGAAGAAACAGGAGGGGAAAACACTGCCTGCTCTCAGCATCCTAGACAGTTTGATATTTCTTGCTCCTGAGTGACCATGATACCTTTAACATAATGGGCAGTATGACAGTAAAATAATGTCAAAGCATGACCCCTACAGGCTATGCATTAAGACAGAGACCAGCAGAGTTAGCTAACCTGTTGCTGAGGCACAGAGTGAAATCATACTCATGCTTTTGCCATGAGCATAGGTATGTTTCCAACCACACAATTCTCTTCTATGGCTAAGACTTGCCTTCCCCAGAAATCCCTTTCTCGTATTGCTCCAGGTTGGAATTTACCAAAGGAGAGGAATTCACATGATTTTAGAAGGTGTAGGTGAAGTAGAAGCCGTTAGTCTCTGATAATGACTGCAGCCAAAAACATGAATAGCAAACAGCTTCCCACAGCTCCTGAGAAATGCTCTCTCAGCCCTTGTAGATTGAAAAGGTAATAGTTTCTCAGATATTTCTGAGAACTGCAGAAGCTTCCAGGCAAGTTTTTGAAAACAATATTCTTCATTGCTTTAAGGAAAGGTATTCTGCAGGTATCACTGACCTTCAGTGGCAGCTACCCTGACCAGCAGCAGCCATTTTCTTGAACTTCGATCCCTCAGCTCACATTTTACCATGGTTATGTAAGCTTCTAATTCTCCATTACAGCCTTTCTGCCCAGAAAACATACAATGGCTTCTAACCAACTCTGAAAGTCTTTTGTACTGAATGTGTTCTGGAATTTGTTTTCTGCTATGTTTAGGTCTGAAAGTAGCAGTGACCTTGTTCATGTTAGAAAAGGAGATACTACTAGCAATCTCCATCCAGTTACTTATTTCCGGCCAGTCGGCTACAGTCATAACCCTATAAAAGGGATGGCATTCAAAGGCCAAGCAGCTGCCATGCACGGTGGTACACACCTGTATTCTCAGCACTCATGAAGCTGGGGCAGGAGGATTGCTGAAAATTTGAGGCCAGACTGAGCTACAAAATGAGTTCAAAGCTAGCTTGAACTGCAGAATGAAATTGTCTCAAAAAAAGAAAAATATCACCCAGCAGCTATAGTACTGGAACATTATTACAAAATACAGTGACTGTAGGGTAGGCTAGTTTCTTATGAGTGATCTGGAGAAACTGCTTGAAAAAAATACAAGGTCAGGGCATCAGATGTTCTGCTGGCTACAAGAACAGAAATCCAGAAAGCATGGCTGCCTTGAGGGAATCCTTATTTCTTAAAATGCAGAGCCTGGGTATCTGCAAACCCAAGCAGAATCTCTGTTCCCGTGGTTAACCAAATTACATATAAATTAAACCCGCAGTCTTGTTTTTAAATACAATTAAAGTCATGTTGTTAACAAAAATTATTTTAAAAAAGAATTGGACTCTAAAAATTGTACCAGTAGATTTAGGTAGAGTTTGACTTCCTTCAGTCTTCAAATTATACTAGTCCATTGCTAGCAAAAGCAGCCCTGACTCTTTCCTGTTGATTCTATAATCACCCTGCCTGAGGTGGTCCTCTTGAAGAGGACAATGATTGTACTCGAAACCCACCCTCAAGAGTCCCTTCCAGACAGGTAACAGCACCCAAGTCCCAGTGGACCTAAACAAAAGGATTATACCATATGATTCAGTGATAAGCACCAAAAACTCCAAAAGAATTACAAGGTTTTATCTAATGTCAGCAAAATCTGAGGACCACTAGTGAAAATGAATTGCAAGGATAATGCCAGGAAGAGAAATGTGATTTTTTTTTATTGCATTGACTGTATTGATACAAACATGTTAGCTAAAGAAATTAAAGTGGTAAGAGCTTACCCGGCTGGCTGACTGAAATGTGAATTTAACAATGGCCTACATTAAGTTAAGGAGAGATGCCAAAACTTCCTTGGTACCCTATAGAACTAGTATCCAAAGGCTTAAAAAGCCAGGGACGCCCATCAGCAAGAGCCTGCAGCAGCACAAGGCTTCTTCATAGCAGAGTTGACAACACATCTTTACTCTTCACTCAGAGCTTCTCAGCCCTCTGTCACAATCTAGCTTTCTAAAACCTTCATCATTTCAACAACTCGTAGATCACGCTGCTATGACACTGATGGGAATAGGTAAGCAGTATTTACTACCCAAGACACCCTGATAAGGCACGTATATGCCAGGGGATGTGGAAGAAATTCCACAGAAGTTAATTTACTTGCCCATTTAGTAAAATTTTTTGCCTGGAGTGGTCTTTATTATACCAAAATATACCTTCCAGAGTGAAGCACAGTTGTTGCATCTGGCATGTTTAATAACCAAGAAAGAAACGCAGCACCTTGGGATCTGGAAGGTGACATCAATCCTTTCCAGCATGGCACTGTGGACTATTCCCCAAGTAACACAAGGAGTAGCACGATGCCTTGAAAAATTCCCCGCCAGGGTGCAAGCTGAGCGAGGATGACCTCGAGTTTATTTTCTATATAAAGCGAACACAAATGCATTCCTCATAATATGAGAGTGACTAGGATGTAAACTCACATATGGTAAGGCTCTTTAACAAGGGGTGTTGCCATTAGAACTCTGCAATCAGATGCCATTCCAATGACAAAATTTTTGTCAGCCCAGAGTAAAAATTGCTCCCTAAGGCTTGCCTAAAATTCTCTTATTTTCCCCTTGATTTGTAATATATACACAGAAAGTACCCTTGGCTCATTAATGAAGAGCTTAAAATTAATCATGATACAACACCCAGCCAACTAGCACCTGAGTGACACAAAAGAATGTCAACAGAGTAGCCGCTTACTCCGCACTCAGGGGAGAGGAAGAAGAACCTGAAATGTAACAGGTGTCTACCCAGAACTGTCAGGTAAGAGAGCGTTAACCCTTCCCTGAAATCCCTGATTCTGAAAGGTTGAAAGAGGTTATTTGGGACTCCCAGCCCTCTTTTCTTCTTTCCTTCCTTCCAGGACACGTATCACATGTGGAACACTAGAGGGCAGACGCCCCTCACAAATGACGGGGCCAAGGATGAAGCTGACCACCAGTCCCCCAGCCCTGCACCACAGGACAGCCTGGTGCTGGTAAAGGGGAGACCAGGGCTTAAACTCCAACTCCACCACCTATGTCGTTGAATAAGTGACCTCATCTCTACAAGCTGGGAAAATAAAGCACAAAAATAAAACTACCCCATGGGATTTCTGGAAGATAGTGAGATTATGTGGATAAATAACAAAATATTTTTAAAATTTTATTTGTTCTTAGGCATCAAAATAATGAATCTAATTTGATTCTCACCAGTCTCAAACAGCAGGAAACATGATTCCTGCTTTTCAGGTACAGAAACTGGGACTCACAAGGAGTTGCATGAGACTTTTACAATCACGGCAAAAATGATAGTATCATTCTCAAAGTCTCTCTTTCAACATTTTATAAAGATTGGCAGGTGACTCTGAAACATTAATAACCCCTTCTGAGATTCTCACATTTTGAGACCCAGAGAGGGCAAAAAATCTTCTGCAAGGCTACAGACCAAGTCAGGGGTGGACTCAGGAGCTATAAGGCCTGCCCACTGTGCCCCAGACCCGCAACCCACCTCGGACTCATTATTCTGCTCGCTTTTTTATTGTTTTTGTTTTATTTTATGTCATTTTGTCTTTTGTTTCATTTTGTTGGTTTTTCTTCTTGTTACTGTTTTGAGACAGGGTCATGTTATGTAGTTGAGGCTGACCTTGAACACACTATGCAGCCCAGGCTGGCCTCAAACTCTCAGAATCATCCTGCCTCCAGCTCCTGAATGCTGGGATTACAAGGTGTGCAAACCCACACTTAGAAGAATTACACCACGAACGCATTCCTATTCTGCTTTTGACTGCTTGCCTTAGGATCCCATCTATGAGTCTTGGCTCCTAACAAGACTGGAGGTAATAGAGAAAAAATATTCTCAAGGACAACTTGTGACTATGAAAAAGCATTTGCAATGCATTGCTAAATGAAAGGAAGGATCTATCAAACAGCAGGTACAAAGTGATTTCAGCGTATATTTATGCACCAGAAGAAAGTGAAAGCTCATGACCTACAATGGGAAAAAAAATACTTATCTCTGTGTATGGGGTAAGATGTTTGTAGATAAGTTTTATACTTTTCTCTTACATTTTTGCATGTTTTCAGATTTCTTCTATGAACATGTGTTATTTTTATGAACAGGGTAAATATTTGTCCATGTGTGTGTTACACTACTTCAATTGTCCATTTAGAAAATTACTACCTTGGGGCTGGGGATTTAGCTCAGTGGCATAAGCACCTGCCTTGCAAGCAGGTGGTCGTGAGTTCGAGCCCTGAAACCGATAAAAAGAGAAAAAGAAAAAAAAAAAAAAGAAAGAAAATTACTACCTTAAGAATCAGAGTGATAAGCCAGGCATGGTGGCTCACGCCTGTAATCCCAACACTTGGAAAGCTGAGGCAGGAGGATCTTTGAAGTTTGAGACCAGCCTGGGCTATAAAGTGAGCTCAAGGTCAGCCTGAAGAACTGTATAGCAAGACCCTGTCTCCAAAAAAAAGACCAGAAAAAAGAATCAGAGTGGTAGTTTGTCCTCCACCACTAATTTATACTGTGCGCAAACCCCTTAATCCCTTGATCCTCAGTTTGTCCACCTGAAATACAAGATAACACTATCCCCGTTCACCTGTGCTCAAACCTCCTTTCTGTGACTGCCTTGAGCTGAGCCCTTGGCCACCCCCAAAATTCTCAGCAGCTGCAGAACACTGCCTCTGTCTCCTTACCCATCCCATTAATTAACCTTCCAGCTGGCTAAAGTTGGGTTCTGTGTTTGAACGCAAACTGGATTCCACAGAGGTATCCTACAGCCTCTTCTACCAGTGAGGCTGAAACCAGTGATCTCTGTGCGCCGTCTTCCCTACGCCTCTCCCTCCTCTCTCTCTCTCTCTCTCTCTCTCTCTCTCTCTCTCTCTCTCTGTCTCTCTCTGTCTCTGTCTCTCTCTCTGTCTTTCTGTCTCTCTGTCTCTCTGTCTCTGTTTGTCTCTGTCTCTCTCACTGTCTATCTCTCTGTCTGTCTCTCTGTCTCTCTGTCTCTCTCTGTCTCTCTGTCTCTCTCTGTCTCTCTCTGTCTCTGTTTGTCTCTGTCTCTCTCACTGTCTATCTCTCTGTCTGTCTCTCTCTCCCTCTCTCTCTCTCTCTCTGAGTCCCACATGGCCACAGCCTGAGGGACTTTGAAGCACATTCTCCTTGAAGCACATTCTTTCCCAGGCCTGTTGTGTCTCCAATCACCATGGCTTCCCCATTCCCTCTGGCTGCTCCTTCTCCAAAATCCCTCTGAAGGCTCCATTGGTCCCCTCATTCATTCAGGGACTATCACCGTGGACCTCCAGGCCTCTCATGACTTCCATTCCACTGACCTCCCTGCCTTGCTCTCTCCTCCTGGATTAGTCTAAACTATAGGCTGCATCGTCAGGATCAGAGTCATCATAACCATCATTCAGCACTCACCGTGTGTCAGCTCCTGAGGGCCTTGCCTGGATTCTCACTTAGTTAGTCCTCACAACGACCAAGTGAGGAAAGTACTATTACTATCTCCATGGAAAAGCTGAGAAAGTGAAGTGTAGAGACTAAGTGACCTGGTCAAGGTTATATTGTAACTGTGCAGTTACTAAATTACTGAGGCCAGGACTTGCATGCAGACAGACTGACTTCACTGCAGAGGATCTGCCTTGCTGCAAGGCAGCACTGCTACATTGCTATTCTGCCTTTTTTTAAACAGGATTACCTACAAAATGAAGCCCCTATCCCCCATCTGCCCCTGAGGACCCTCCTGCATAGTTCAGACACATCTTTTCAGTCCTTGTTACCCCAATGCCCAACTGGCACTAGTACATTAAAAACAAAGGAGTTGGGTGAGGTGCTCCCCTCCCTCCATTTAACTCTAAACCGCACCTAATAGTTGCTCCTGTTTCCAGTTCCTTATAAGAGGTAGAAAGTAAAATAATAGAAGCCTAAGAGATTGCCAGTGCCCTAGGCAAGAACACAGGTGCCAAAGCACAGGTATCATGGGAGATTTAATGAAAAGCACCCACATCAGAGACGACTGCCTTTAAATTCTGAAAGCTTGACTTATCAGCCCCTTTTTCCTACTGCTGTTGCTACTTTTGACCTGTGTGCTGTGCATTCCTGTCGCCCTGGCACCTTTCCTGTGTTATACCTTTGTTGGCACAGACTGGCCTTGAGCACAACCTCCCGTGATCCCAACACATGGAGCTGCTTACTACTTACTACTGGGCGTCTGCTCGGCTATTCTTTCCTCATCAGATGTGAGAACCGGGACCATTATTGGTCCATTTTACTCTAACACCATCTGGACTACACTCTTCCACATGTCCACTTCCACACCTGAACTCACACCCTTTGGAGTAACCGTCAGCTCAATCATATGTCAAAATGTTCTCAAACAGGGGCTGGGAATTTAGCTCAGCAGCATAAATGCCTGCCTGGCAAGCGATAGGCTGTGAGTTCGACCCCTAGTACTGGAAAAAGCAAAAAAGAAAAAAAAATTGTTAAAAAGGGGCTGGGGACTTAGCTCAGTGGCTTAAGCGCCTGCCTGGCAAGTGCAAGGTCATGAGTTCAATCCCCGGCACCCCCCCCCCAAAAAATGTTCTCAAACATCAAACCACCTTTTCTTCACATGGAGCAAGTTATTTGAAAAAGAAGCTATGATGGGGAACAAACCTGTAACTAGGAGACAGCAGACCTGAGGACAGGTTCTTGTTTTCTGGGAGATCTACAGTCTCCACTCTGGGCCTCAGTTTTTCCATCTGGAAGATGAAAGACATGGGACCAGGTCATCTTTAGGAGCCCTTTCTGCTCTAATAGGCTAGGACCCTGTGCAAAAAAAAAAAAAAAAACCCTGAAATGAGATGAAGCTGCCCTTTTTCAAATTGCTTTAACATTCACAGATGAACAGAATGTGAGGTTTAGGAAGACTTCTGAAGAAAAATAGCCCTACTCCCTTATCCTTCCCCTGGGGATGCTGACACTCAGGGAGGGACAGAGGCCTGAGCCATCTGGGGAGTACTAGGGGGAGGCTGTGCTCTCTGCCCAGTGAGGGCCCATCTCAGCGGGTCCCCAGCCCCCACCTAGAACGGGCAGGAGGAAGCTGGGAGGGCCAGAGCTCCAGAGCTGGCCCCGGGCCTGGCCGGGCTTGTGCGGTAGTTTTCCACAGCAGCCGGCCAGCAGCCCAGGACATGTGCTCTCCATTCCCCTTGCCCTCCGCATTCCTCTGTACATTCAGGCAGCAAAGTGGCATTTAGGGCCCTGCTGGGGGCAGAAGGAGAAGGAAGGCATAGGGGCAGAGACTTAGATACCACAAACATCTCCAGATAAGGGCACAGCTACAAACACAGACCCAGAGAGATAACAGCGTCTGATTAGGTGAAGGTTCCCAGGCACAAACGACAGCTACGACACCCCATCAGAGTGCACACCCCATCGGAGATCTCACAGACCCACTCTCAGGGCACACACAGCCTCTGCACACAGAAATGGATGGTCACCTTAGATACAAACAGGCACATTCCTACCAGACGTCCCTGTACCAGCAGGCCAGCCCCACCCCATGCACTCCTTCTGCCCCTGTTCTGCAGTTTCTGTGCATGACAAACATTGGTCAAGGAGTCAGAAAGGTCCTAAGTCAGTCCTGTCCTGAAGGGCAGGACAGGAGTTAGATGAAACCCAGGAACCGACCAGGCTCCCTCAGCACTGAGAAGGTATCATATTTTTAATTCCAAAGAAATGACTGGACAGTCCTCACCCTGTTCCCTGGAGGCCAAGCTGGACCCCAGAGCATGCCACCCCTGACCCTTCTCCAGGCCCTGCATTCCGTGTTCCCAGCAGCACTAGCAGCACAGAAGGGAAGTTGCAAGATTATTCTCTGGACTCAGTATCCCACCAATCTCTGCCTACCTGAGCCAGGCACTCACCTAACGCCTCCATTCTCATCTCAGCCCTACAACTGTCCTCCAGCAACCCACCGAATACTGACCACACCTGACCACAACGAGCACCCCAGACCCGAGGCCTGGAGCGGGCTCCCTGTGACAAGAGCGGAAGGCAGAGCCTCCCGCTGGGTGTCAGGTCAAGACCTGGTGACAGGTGGTCCAGCTGGGTAGTCAGTGAGGGTCTGCGTTTGGAGTGGGCACCCGGGCACCCCTTACAACCTCATCACCTACTTGGACAAGGGGCTTCAACTCTTGGACCTCAGAGCCCTCATTTATAAACTGGGAATAACAATGCTGCCTAACACTCGGGAATACATATAAAGAGTTTATCCTGAGGCGAATTGAAAACCCTGGATATTAATCAAGAAAAGGCTGTGCGACTTGGGCTGGGGATTCAGCCTCTCCTAGTCACGGTTTCCTTGTCTGCAACCCAAAGAGGCTAAAACACCCTGTACCCAGCAGACAGCTTGGACAGCAGGCTGCCCTGCTCCGCGCCCACCTGCCCCCGGCCCCAGTACCGGTTCCCATGCCGGCGCCCCACCCACCCGACTGCCGGGCTATCAGCCGGAAGGGATTTGCAGCCGCAGGGGAATCAGCTGGGTCGGCACAGAGGCTGCCTTGTCCTGGTGGGGCCCGATGGTCACGTCGTTCCGCGGACGGCCGCGGTGCCAGTGCCCACCCCGCCCTGCCGCCCCCGGGGCCCCAGCGCTTCAGGGGCCGGCGCCACATTTCCTGGCCCCTCGCCCAGCGCCCCGCGAGTTGTTTGGGGGCACTCAATGTGGGGACTGCAGGGCCTGCCTAGCTCCTCCCAGCTCCCCGCTGCACCCACCTCCAGCGTCCCAAACTGGATCCCGCTGTGACCCCAAAGGACGCAAGTTTGCCCCCCACCACACACACACACACACACACACACACACACACACACACACATTCCGTTCCCCCATTCTGGACAGCCTGATAGATAACAGATTAATCCTTGAAAAGGCTCAGAACTTGGGAAATGCCTCAACCAGATGAGTTCATGGGAGGACTGATTGGAGAGAGGCAGGCCTGGGGTCCCTGTTCCTGGTATTGCAAGCCCCTGGCTCTGCTCTGGCTCAGGAGGTAGCAAATCCAACCAGCACATTCTGGGCTTGGATTGGAAGCCAACTCAGGTGTACTTGGTCCTGCTGCTGGAATCTTCTCTCAGTATTCAGGACAGAGGGATTTGGTGTTATCAGCTGGGTGTTAGGGTCTTGAGTGAGTTTCTGGATCCAGCTGTAAGGGCCCCGAAGTAGGCTTGCAATGTAAGCCTACCTAGATATATCTGGTCTGGGCATTGTGACCATTTCTCTGTGTGGGTTCTTCTCTGAGTCAGGTTGTTAGCACTGTCTGTGGTATGAATATATGTAGTATATTGTGTATGATATCTCATATATGTGGTAAATGCAGTATGGGTATATGTAGTATGTGGTCCAGTGTTAAGATCTTCTTAGGTAGGCTCACATCTGGGTTTGGGATCTGCCCTGATGGGTCAGGTATATATGAGCAGCCACTATGGGATGATTTAGGATCCTTGGACAGTAATATAGGGTCCAGACTCAACAGCTACCTTTGACAAGGGCAATCATCATTATTAAGTCCCATCCCAGCTCACCAGACTCCTCTGGGACCAGCAGAAAAAGAGCCCAAGGAGGTTAGTCTCATACCCCTCTTCAGTGCAGACTCTAGACTCGAGCCAGGACTCAGTCATGGTGTCACTCTGCACAGTGGCCCATCTCTTCCCTTTTCTAAGCTCAGTTTCTCACCAATATATGGAAGCACTGGATTAGATAATCTCCCAGGTCCCTATACCGCTCTGTCTGGTATATACGCGCGCACACACACACACACACACACACACACACACACACACACATCCTGCCTAGTGCGCCCTCATCTCTTCTCCCCACCACAATCCCCAATCTCTACTAGCCCTTCAGGCTCCTCCCATCTGGAAAAATCCCCTACCCCCATGCACATTTTTCCAAGCCAAGGTCTCAGTTTTACCTCCCCTGAGACCACAGGCAGCCACAGATCCAGCCTGACTCTCATGGTTCTCTCTATCCAGCTGGGAGCTCTCTGAGATCAGAGCCCTATCTATCCTTGGCTCTAGTCTGCGACCTCGTTCTGGATGGGCATGGGGTCCCAAGCTTGGCTCAGCCACCACCCTATGCTGGCAGGTGACCCTTTAAGAAGAGTCTCTTTTGTCCCTAATACCCTGGATGGCGGGTGGGAACTAATCGGATTGGGGAGCCTGTCTCCTGGCCACACCAATCCTCCTTTCCGGCCTACTGCACCCATGTGACAACCCGTCTAGGGCAGTAGGGACTCCTCAGAACCACGTGGGCCCAGGCGGTAGCTGGGAGACTGCCCAGTTCTACCTCTCCTAAAACCCAGCACAGACTGAAGTCAGATGCCCCACAGGCAGCAGTGAGGCAGAGCAGTCACGATTTTCCCTTGACCACCTGCACAGTCGGCATGTGAGCATGAGTGCAAGTGCACGCACACGTGTACACACATCTCTTACAGAAGTGAAACAGAGCCAGGTTCTGAGGAAGGCACTTCACAAGCAGTATTTCTGGCCCTCAAAGCAGTGGCATTCAGAAAATACAACTGAAACCCAGAGGGAGGAAGGAGTTAATATGAGACCATACAGTTGCTAAGTATGAAAGCAAAACTCAGTCATGTCCTTTTCCCAGAACCAGGCACATACACCAGAATGCACACAACTGTCTAATGCCTGGGCTCCACTCTTAGACCAGTTGTTAAATAGCAAAGCTAGAAGGGGCCTTAATAGAGACCATGTGCTGTCTATTCTATCTTTCAGAAAGAGACAAGGAAAGAGATTTATTTCCTTTACAACAGTTATAAAGTGGGAGAGTCAGGATTAGAATTTGTATCTCCACTGTCACACGGTCACATGTATAAACATCCACATGCCACAGTTCACCCATCAGCTCTTATGTAAAACCCATGAGCATTCTCCACAGCCACCCTTATTTCATACATTCACTCACTTGAGTTTGTGTATCTACACATTCCTTTGCACACATGGACTCATCACACACAAGCACAAACATATACATGATCAGGACATGGCACATCAAATGCCAGACTCTGGGTAGAAGTTATCCACTGAGTCTTTAAAAGGAGGTGCTAGGCTGGGTGTGGTGGGGCACACCTGTAATCTCAACACTTGAGAGGCTGAGGCAGGAGGATCACAGTGAGTTCAAGGCCAGTGTGGGCTACACATAGTTCAAGACCAGAGAGAGATCCTACCTCAAAACACACACACACACACACACACACACACACACACAGGAGGTGGTCTAGAACCAGCACAGTGTTGCATGGGTGCATCCTGGCACTGCCATTGGCAGCCCCAGGAAGTGCACTCTGCCCCCAGGTCCCCACAGGCCCAGGCAACTCACCCCATATTGTCTTGGCGAAGCCCAGCAGGTAACCCCAGAAAATGCCAAGTCATGGGGCAGGGACGGCCCCAGCCAGGATGGCAGCCGGTCTGGTCCCAACTTGTTTGCTCTGTCTTTTCCCTGGAGCCCTATCTTGATGGGCCAGACCCTGAGTTACGAGGTTCTTCCTACACTCACTGTAAGCAACTCTCCTACCTCAGCCTCCAAAGAACTGGAATTGCAGGGGTGCACAACTATGTCTGGCTCTGTGCTAGATTTTGATGCATTGAATTCCCAAGCCTGTCTTTCTAAGAGCTCCAGCTTAAGGGTATCAAATGCAAGTACAGTAATAACTGTTCACAAATGCTTCTGTTCAGAAACAATTCAGTTCACCAACAGAAGCACTTAGCAAAATTTTGGTTCTGATTTCCAACTCTGCATCAGGTGACAAATATGATCGTGGCCATCTTCCCCAGCCTCGTGGAACAAATTAAGTTTGTGAACCCAGATACTACTGTACTTGAAGTGCCAGACAAGTGATATGAGCAAGTGAAAAGGGGGATGTAAACTTATAGTCTTCTGTCTAACAGGCAAGCCCCTGCCCTGTCTAAAGTTTTTATGCTTGAGAGTACTTGTCAATCATATGGCAACCAAGGAATCCCTTCAATTTGCAGTTGAGTTCAGATGATAGACTCTGATTTGCAATCCAGGTTCTGGATTCTAGAACTAAACCCTAGAATCTGATAGATGCCAGATTAGATGTAGAGATAGAGTTTGGACCTGACCCTGTAGGTGGGCCTAAGGACTATGGGAGGCTCTTGCTGTGAATGGACAGTGGTCATAGGAGGCCCATAGGAGGAAGCCTCCACACTGTAATCCCAGGACATGATGTGACTTCCTGCCCCCATCACCACTGCTTCCTGGCAGGCGCCCCTCGGTGCTCACAGGACTCCTCTCCTACTCCTGCCTCCAATCCTGCTTTTTCTACTCACACCTTGTATAGAAAAGTTGACTAGATTTTGCCCCTCCTCCATATTTCCCTCTCTGACCTAAGGCCCCCACAAAAGTATACCACATATGCACTCAGACAGACAGACAGACACTCTTCTAATGGGGAGGCTCCATTCAGCCTCCATTCCTGACCTGCCTCCTTCCAGCTATGGACAGCAGGGAAGCAGCCTCTCCTATAGAAATGAGCAAGAAGGAAGGAAGTGACCAGGGAGGCCACTAAATAAACAAACTTGTGATTGCTTGTGTTTATATGGTTTGATCCTGGCCTACAGTGTAGGAAAGTTCTCTGGACTTGGACTCAGGAATTCTTTTTTTTTTTTGTCTTTTTCATTTTTATCGGTACCAGGGATTGAACTCACGACCGCCTGCTTGCAAGGCAGGTGCTTATGCCACTGAGCTAAATCCCCAGCCCCAGGAACTCTTGATTCTAAGTCTGATATAGTCTCTGTTTTGCTGGGTGACCTTAGGGAATTTCTTGCCCCTCTCTGGATCCCAATTTCTCCTTGCAAGGTGAGTGAGTTGGACTGGAATGATTTTCTGTGTGTTTCATCTCGTAGGAACGTTAGAACAGCCTCAGGGAAGCTGTCCTGGTTCCCCCAGACTTCTTCAGGATTCCTGGCCACCAGATTGGTGTCCAAGTGAGGGTGGAGTATCCCTCAGTTCAGATGCAATGTTCCTTAGCATAGGACCCAAGGAAAGCACAGCAAGGCGCCCAGGACAGGCAGCTTCTTCCTTAGCCCAGCACACCCGCAGCCCCTAGATGCTGGACCATGGAGCCTGGGAGCTTCTCTGGGCACAAACTGGCACCTCTTCCCACACCCAGCCACTCTCCTGGATCCTCATTAAATTATTCTGCCCCACTGCTCTCAGCCTCGGGCTGCCTTTGATGTGTGCCCATCTAGTTTCTGAGGCCAAATTCAGGCCTCTCACACCAGGCCAGGATGATGGGTTCTGACAGCTTCCCTGGGGCCCCACAGTGCCAGGAACACAAAGCTCACATATGCAGAGAGACACATGCTCAGGGCTATGCACAACCAAAAAGTCTCTCTCTTACACACACACACACACACACAATTATGGGACAGACGTCTGCACCCTGACATACTCATCTGCACCCTGCATACTGACACACACACACTCACACTCGTGTACAGCACTTACAGCACGAGGCCCACGGGCTCTCATGGTCTCCCACTCAAGGCTTCACCTGGAGCCTCCTACTGCTTCTCCCTGGTTCTTCCAGTGGCAGTTAAAGTCTTCCGCAATCTCACCCCTCCCTCCCCACCTTCCTTATCTTTTGTAGGTGACAGCATTGTGATTATGAGCCCAGACAGTCTGATTCAGTTCTTGAATACTCATTTATAAGCCATATGACTGTGGGTGTGTTACTAAGCTCTCTAGCCTCTGCTGCCTTGCCCACAGAATGAAAATGGCAATAGTATCTTCCTAGTTTTGTGTGCCATAACAGAAGTTCATTACTGAGCCATGTAGAACAGTGCCCGGCATATAATAGAATGTTGGGTGCTGTCTCTTTTCGCTTCCCTTTCATACCTTTGGCCACAGCATATTAAGTTTCCTAACATACTAAGTTGTTACATGTTTCTGACCCTTTGCATATGATGAACCAACTTGGAAAATCACTTCCCACTTCTTCCCTGCTAGCACCTAGTGAACTTCTGTTCACCTTTTAAAACCCTGATCAGGTGGCCCTGTTCTTGGCAAGCCTCTTTGTACCACTGCCACCCAGCAGAACTGGTCACGGACTCCTTTGTGTCCCAGCCCCATCCTGAATTACCTGTCTCCTTAGACTATGAGCTGACATGACACTGCTCTCATGTAGTTCATCTCTTGAATCTTGTACCTAACTTTAGACATAGATCACGGTGAACATCAGTGGTCTGTGAAAGAATAAATCATTGTCAATTGTGACAAGATATAAACAAGGGCACTAGTGCTAACTGTTACAGAACAGCATTGCTTAAAGTGCTAATACCAACAATAGTAGTATATTGGTAAGAATGACCTGCTTTGCTGAATGGAACATGAGGCAGGCTCAGAGTTAGGGGCTTTCTGTGTGACACGCTCAGTAAACCCATCAGGTTGTGAAGGTGGTGTGTCTATTCCTTGGGGAAACAAATGTATGAAGGGCATTGAGTGCTTTCAGTAAAACACCATGCATCAAGAATAACGAAAGATCAGTCCACATGCAGCAACAGGGTTGGACCTTTCAGTCACGAGTTAAGAGGACTGTGGATTAGAAAGATTGCAACATAATTCCATTTCTGCAAATTAATTCCATGCATATTTCATAAGGACATATTTAAAAACATGTGGATGGTCTAGGGATACAGCTCAGTGGCACCACACCTGCCTGGCAAACACAAGGTACTGAGTTCAATTCATGGTACCAAATGAATAAATAAAATAAAAACATATTGGAGTGGATTCTTACATTGTGCAAAACAATTAGAAACGGGTGGGAGCGAGGGTCTAGGAAGACGAGGAAATTATATTAGAAAGAGGAGTACGAGTGACTCAATTTTATGCACCTGAAACCCAAACAAGCAGAAATAAAGGTGGTCAGATTTACAGAAGTATATCACCTTTATCTCATTTAGAGTTGGGGATATCAACTAGATATACAGACATCCTCTTGCCGGACATGATGACACATGTCTGTAATCCCAGCGCTCAGGAGACTGAGGCAATAGAGTCACCATGACTTTGAGGCCAGCCTGTGTTACATAGCAAGACCCTATCTCAGAAAAAAAGAAAGGCATCCTCTTATTTATGTGTTGGTTTTCTGATATCTAACCAGCATCACTGCCCATAGTTTCCCTTAAAGCAAAGAAACCGGCTGCTTGCATGCTCATGTTCATTCAATGAAGCCCTGATTACAAGCTGAACTATATTCTCCCCGAAACTTCCCCAGAGCAAGCTCTGTGACTTTAGTGTCCTGTCCATTACTAAATGAATGGATGAACAAAGAAGGGAAGGAAGGAAAGAAAGGTAGAGGCTAGAAATGAAGGTTTCATGGAAGTCTCGGCCTAGGGTTTCCCCAGAACATTCTCTTCTTTTCTTTCTGCCTGTCTAATACAGGAATCCCAGGTTGGAGCCGCGGAAAGGAAGCAGGATCTAGAAACAAAACTGCTAATCTCAAATCCTCCTTCCTAGGATGAATTGCTTCTGTTATCAAGAGGCAGCAAGAGCTGCCACAGGATCCTGGAGTCACATGATAACCCTCTAAGGACCCACACCCACAGAGGGCACATGGTCCCCTTGGTACAGAAAGGACAACAACCTGGGCATCTAATCTGTTACTCTGTACCAGGCTGTTTTACCCATTTTCTCTTAACTCCCATTGTCAAGTATACATGTCAAGAATTATCCACATTTTACTGGTTGGGAAACTGAGACTCAAAGAACTTAAGAGTCGTGCTTAAGTGTAGTGAGCTCTCATTGTAACAGTAATCACCCATGTACTTTGTAAGTTTACTCCAGACCCTCCTTAAGAACTTTGTAAACCTTCACTCACAGCATTCTGTGAGCAACAGTCACTGTCCCCATCTTACAAATGATGACCCAAGATGCAGAGGCACACAGTTAACATGTGGGAGGCCAGGAAACAAGCTCAACAATCTGACTCAAGATTACTCTCTTTAGCCCAGGTGTGTGCTGCTTTTTTTACAAAGCAGAGGCGGGGTGTGAACACACAGTAAATCAACCCTGTGGAATGGGTTTGGGTCCCCTGACACCTGGGGAGCCTGGCTGTCTGCCAGCCATAGGGGGGCCCACCGGGAATGAGAACCCACAGGGTATACACGGTCAGTCACTGGTCCTGCTGCTATGGTCTGCCTAAGGGCCCCCCACCCTCTGAGCCTCTAACCCTAGAGGTGGAACAGGCTGTCTCCCTCCCCCATTCCCCTGCCAGGACTATGTGAGCTAATCCCAGGGAGAAGACACATTAGCCCAGGAGAATTGGTCCCAGCCTGCTCTGCTGAGTCAGCGGGAAGTACAGCCCTCCCTCTGCCAGCTACGTGAGCCCCTGCACACCATCAGACACTCTGCAGACCCAGTGTGGCCCCCACCACCAACATGCCCTCACGTGCCTCTTTGGTGCTGACCTGCCCCCAACAGCACTCCAGCTCAGCAATCCTGAGCCTCCCTCATCTGCATTCCCAGGCACAGGCAGGCCTGTTTCTCAGCACCCTCCCCACTGGCACCCAGCGAACTGACATCTCCTGTACAGAACACAAATCCTGACCTAAACTACAGGAGTAGGAAGGAGGACTTGGGGAATGTGGTCTTTTGCACATTCAGCACACTGCCAGCTCCAGAAAGGTCAGCTCATGGACTCATGGGGTTGCAGCCATCAGAATTTTCAGTGTAATCATCATCATCCTGCGTGTCATCTCTGTCTCCACTACCACCATTGTTATCCCACTAGCCCTTCCCTATTCTCCCTGAAACTTCCCCAGAGCAAGTCCTGTGATTCTGTGTCCTGTCAATGACTAAATTCAAAAAGAATTATTTTGATTAACAACACCTATACTGTACCATTTTATCCTAACCCTAACATCCTTGTCACCACCATCCAAGATACTTGCTATTATACCATTGAAAATGTTACTATCATTTATGACTCTAACACAACCTACTACCATTAACCATTACCAGCATCATTATGCCCACTACCATCACTATCATCACCACCATAATCAATACCAGCACTAGTCAACATAAACTCCATTGTTTCCATTCGTACATAACTATAATCAATACCACTACTATAACCAACATTAGCACTACTGTATCACCTCTACCGTAGTTGTAACCAATGCTAATGTCATCATAACTATAATCAACCCCAGCATCACTGTAACTACTAATACCTCCACCACCATGAACAACCCCTCACCCTCACGTTGTCACCACTACCATGCTCCTTCAAACACAAAACTTTGCCTGTGTCTACTTCTATGCCAAGCATAATGTGAAAACAACAGTGAAAACCAAAGTTCTTCTATTCTAACAGTACAATAAAATGCCCACTCACTTCTCATTACTGTCTCTTCTAAACAAACATAATAGTTTCACTAAATTGGTCCATTTAGCAGTTCACAGAGGAAGAGCCATGCATGCCTGGAAAATATGGGAGTGATTACTGGAGTTGCCCCTTGACCAGCCTGGCATAGCGGTGCAGACCTGTAATCTCAGCACTCAGGTGACTGAGACAGGAGGAACACTGTGAGTCCAAAGCCAGCCTCAACTACACAGCAAAACCCTGCCTCAAAAAACAAAAATTTAAAAGCAACACACTCTCTTTTTCATCCTATTTTCTTTCAAGTTTCTGGGGCCCTGCAGCTTTATCTGTCCCTCCAATGTAGCTTTCTCCCTTTCAAAGTCAGACTTTAATCTCCTCTAGAGCAGAGCAGTTAAGTGGAAATTGACTGGTCTGAGAGCCAGCCCCAGCTCCTAACCTTGGTCCCACCAGTAAAGCTCTTCATGGCCTTGAGAAATTTTTTCTTTTCTCGACTTGCTTCCCTACCTGTAGCAGAGGGATGACCTTCTGACTCTAGTGTTTTGAAGATTTTTAAAGTTGAGACACTCCTAGGACAAGTCTGAACCCTTTTCCAGACGGTCCCTTTGAATGGGAAAGGAGATGATGTCAACCCTGGTTGGCTGCCCATCACATGAGACTTGATTCCCCATCAGCATGTTCTTTCTGGGAGCTCCAGGAAGAGACTTTGGTGAGCATGTCATGCTGCTGCTCAGGCAGGGCAGCACTCAAAGGGTTAAGCCAGCCGGGCTGTGCATGAGCAAGTGTCTCAGATGAAAGGTTGGTCAGAGAGAGAACGCCATGTGGCTGTTGTAGTTGGCAGGTCAGGGGCAGTGGGACCAGGCTAGGTCCCGAAGGAAATCCCCTCCTGGTCTCACCAGAACAAAGTGGTGTTTTGCAAAAATGCCATTGTTCTTGGGCAAGTCTTTCCCATCTCAACATAAACCAGGAAGCAGTGCTTCCTTTCTTGGGCGAGACCCCAAGGTCCCTCCACTGGTGGGAGTGGGGGGAAAAGAACAAGGTTCTTTCTGACTTAAATGATCTTCCACAAAACGTGAGCTGAAGAGTAGCAGCCCCTACTTGGCTGCGTCCAAGGGTCCAAGGTTCACAGTGCTGCTGTGTGTGTGTGTGCATGCGCCCTTCCTAACAGGGAACAGAAACAGAAGGTCACCTAGTTTAGTCTTTGCCTTCCAACAAGACTGTACCTAAGCCAGGATATGAAGATGTCACAGGGTATCC